GAAACCCCAGGTCAGCGGAGAGGCAGATGTCGCCGCCACTGGCATCAGCCCGGTGGCCGCCCACTCACCGTACTGGACTTGAGCTCATCCCCATTCTCCTCGTCGGACTCCAGAGCGACAGGCAAGGACCTCTGGGGCGGGGAGAAGGTCAAGTCCCAGCGCAGCAGCCGGGGCTCGGCCCCGCCCAGCCGCAGGCTCGCCAGTTTCTGCACCGCGGGCTCCGCGGAGGAGGCCGGCCTGAAGTTCTCCTTGTTCTGGGCCTTGGACCGCAGTCTCTGCACCGCGAAGCCCCGGTCCTCGGGGCGGTGGTCGTCCCCGGAGCCCCGGCAGGCGCCGCCCTTGCCGTAGCGTCTTTTCTGGGGGTGCGTCTCCATCCTCAGCAGGGGCTTCATCTCCATCCGGTAGTTGCTCAGCTTCTCCTCCTGCAGCTCCAGCAGCCTGACGCCCGCGGGGCTGTGGTTGCTGACCCGGTGGTGGGAAGTCCACGTGAACACCGGGGGCGCCTCCGTCCGCCGCTCCCGCGGCTTGGGGTTCCCGGGCTGCTTGCGGCCCGAACCTCGGGTGCGGAGGTCGTCCACGGGCAGGCCGCCACGCAGGGCACCGGTGCGGACGCCCCTGGAGCCCCCCGCCTGCTCCTCGCCCCAGCTGCTGCGGGCGCAGTCCCCGGCCCGGCCCTCCAGGAGCATCTGGATGTCCCCACCCCGCTCCTCGTCCACCGACACCTGCCGCGAGAAGTGGGCGACCTTGTTCCTGGCGGCGGGCGCAGGCGGCGGGGTGGCCGCGGGGCTGGCGGGGAAGCTCTGCAGGGGGCTGCCGTCGGGGGGCAGACGACTGCAGTGGTGCCAAGGAGAGGCAGAAACGGGCATTGCCACCCGGCAGGACGTGCCCCTTCAAAGGGGTGTCACGCTTTGACTCCTCTGGGGGTGGGGCTGGCAGAAGAAGAAAACCACAGCTCCCCTAAGTCACAGACAGGGACAGACACCGACGCCTGCTGCAGCATCAACAATAAACCTACCGATGGCCCCCCTGCCCGCCCCACGTGCCCTGAGCACCCCACGCAGACAACCCCCTGCGTCCTCACACCCAAGGGGCAAACGGGCTTGCAGCACTTCTTTTCAGCACCAAGCACTGCCTGGGCAGCCATGGGCGAGCAGAGCCCTGCTGGGGTGAGGGCCTGGCCGTGCACAGATCCCACACACAGCCACCATCCCACAGCCCTTCATTCCCTATGGGAGCAGGGTGGGATTTGCACGGTGACGGTCCCTTCAAGGGGGGGCCAGCCTTGTGTGAGGCACCAGGACCCCCAGCCTCACACTGAGCCTAGCCCAGGACCCCCAGCCTTGCACCGAGCCTAGCCCAGGGGACACTGTTCTTCCCTCCAAGTCACCTGCCCTAGAGGAGCGAATCTGGGGCTGGGGACAAGGGGTGCTGGGTGAGGCTCAGGGGGGCCTCATGGGAGCTGGCCCCAACCTCAACACCCCCATGGGCGAGAGAAACCTGGACTGGCAGACCCCCCACCCCGGGGTGTCTGACCTGACTCCCAGCCCCAGGCCAGCCCCGCCCCCAGCTATTTCTAGGTCTCTGGGTTCCTGTCCAGGACACAGGACACTCAAGTGGTCATCTCACGGTCCAAGGCCCAAGGCCACTGACCAGGGCACAGACTGCTGAGCAGCTGGGGTTGAGCAAGTTGCGGGAGTGCAGGCTCCCATGCTGCCTAGGTCAGGAGGTTCCTGTGCTTTCTGGACAGCCTGGGGGCAGCCCTCTCACGGAAAAAGGTGTGATACCTGC